CCAAGCAGTACTGTTTTCTGAAGCATCTCAGTTTGAATCACAATCACAATTTTACTCTGCCATTTTTGGATTTTGCATGTCACTATTTCAAGGCTTCTCACAACAACAAGAACAACTACTTACTTAAACCTCCACACGCGTACCATTATTATTATTATTATTATTATTATTATTGTTGTTGTTGTTGTTGCTATTGTTGTTGTTGTTATTGTCGTTCCTTTGTTCTTTAGTTAATACGTACGTTACGTCCTGACAATATCTCATAAATAGTGGAGTCTTATGTATTGATCGCGAGGAAAAGGGGAAAAGACATATCAGAGACTGTGTTTAGTTTCCGTGAGAAAAATAAATAAATAAAGAAAGAAAGAAAGAAAGAAAGAAAGAAAGAAAGAAAGAAAGAGGAGATAATAACGCTCTCGTGTGTTTAACGCCTGTTTCAGTGAAATAAAAACCTTTTAAATTTTAAATCTTTTCATTTGTACCCTCTTTAAACCATGAACTGCATTCATACTGATGACTGTTATTGTAATATTTTTAAAACTGCTAAAATATTTAACGATGCAATAGGGGTATTTCCACGGTTCTCTTGTAGCCGTGGAACTCGCTATGAATTTATTTCTTCATTTAATAATATGTCACATCAGAAAATTCAAATGAGATAACCATGAAATTTCCAGGATTATCTAGTAGCAGTAAGAGCAGTAGTAGTAGTATAAACAGATAAGTTTATTGCCTTTGAGAAGAAACAGTTTAAATATAATACATAATATTATAAACCTTGCTTCTGACAACATGTATATTGACATTGTTTTATACTTGGCAACTGCACACTTTAAATGGTACAAGTCCTGTAAAGATTTACTAGCATTACTTTTTGATTTATTATTCTTTTAAGATCACTTTGACGTTAAGTCATTTGACTATATAAAAAGAGATTTTGTTACGGTATTCTTTTCACCAATTCTGTAGGTTGCTTGCAGTGTTGAGCAGAGATTTTGTATTGTTTTCATTGAACTGTTATTGTTAAACGTGTATTCAGCATAATAATCTTATTCTTTTTTTTTAATTTTATTTCACATTTTATCAGACACGCTCAGACAATAATAGTGCAAAAGAAACAAAGATCTGTATTATTTGTTGTAGTTTATTGCTGACTTTTTTATTATCGTACTTATTCATTCTATTCTCCCACTTAATTCATTTTTTTACTACCCATTATCTTGAGTTCTAATCTTTTTATGTGCCGTGTCACTTCAGGACATAGGCAATCATGGCTCTCCACAATTTCCTGTCCTTTGTAGCTCTTAATAAATTTTGTCTTATCTCTCCTAAACTTTGTTCCACCATCCATTTACTCAAGCTCACTCAGTATGTTAAGCGCTGTTTTGCTCTGTTCCTCTTGTCTTTAATCTGTCCTGTGAGTATCAGATTTTCCAAGCTCTCTTTCTTCATTCTGTGCCCTAGAATTATCAACTGTCTCTTTCTGTTGTTTAGTATCAGTGTCCTTCTTGTTTCCATTCTTGGAAATCATCCTGTATAATTCCTTCTGTCAAAACTCTGAGGAACATTCTGAATCCTTGAATTATCGCCCTATTAATATCTTCTTTTTGGCAAAGTACGAGAGCCTCTAATCAACGTCGAATTGGTTATGCATCTCACATAGTACGACAATATTTCGGATAAACGATATGGCTCCTTTTTTCTCCAGGTCTACCGGATATCAGTGAACTTGTCTGTCAGGTTTTATATGAGAACGGCGAAGCTTGGGTTGTCGCTTTAGATATCTCGAAGGCGTTTGACATGTTGGCCTTCTCCACGAGCTCAAAGGATGCGGTGTCTCTGGACGAATATTTGTCTTAATCCAATCGTTCTTAACAAATCGTGTAATGAATGTCTTGTTGAACGGATACGCTTCTAGTTCATTTCACATTAAAGTGGGGGTCCCCCAGGGCTCTATCCTTGGACATGCGTTTTTTTTTTTTTGTTTTTTTTTTATCTTCATCAACAACCTACCCGATGTCATCAGTTTCCAACCAGGTATTTATGCAAGTGACACAAATTCTGAGTCCTCTTAAGTAGAATCCGATGATTATTTCGGATTTTATTTTGATATTATAATGGGGATAGAAAGTTATTAGATCATTTTTATTAGTTGATTTTAGATGGACACTAAGTTTAAGCTGTTGACAACGCGGTGTAATATGATATCTGGGAAAGGTAAAGTATTGTTTTCTTCTATTTTGTATGTAAATTCTATTGTACGTTCGACTTTGCTGATTGTTTGGGGAGAATATTTTGTAAAGAGCCAGATTCGAGAAATTCTAAGAAAATGTGTGCCATCGCTCCCATTTATAATCTAAATTTTGTTTACAAAAATTATTATTAAATGTGAAATAGAATTGATTAGTGATGAGACTGCAAATTTTTATTATTTTAGCTATTGGGAGGGAGAGGTTTATCTTTGGTCGTGTTGATGCTTTTTAAGAGATTTAATCATTTTTCAAATGTGACGTTAGTGTAAAGTGATTTTATATTTAGACTAGCTATGAATTTGTCAGTCATATTTCTTTCCCTTAGTTTTTCAGTTAGGTGACTTGAATTTTTTTTTATATGTGATGGACTGATTGTCCCAAGAAGAGGGGTTAAAATTGTTGTTAGGGCTTTTGCCAGTTTGTGGGAGGCGCTGTCTATTCCTGAAATAATGGGGCACATTGAGATGCATAAAACCCACAAAACAGGTATCCCAGTGGGCCCCATTATTTCAGGATAAATAAAATAATTGTAACTGATCATGTGTAATCGACTAGATTTATGACTGATTGGATAAGTTTATACATTTCACGCAGAATATTATTTTTTCGTCCTGAATTCATCGTAAAATATATTTTGGAACTTGAAAATTCTTGCTTGCGCCATTACACACATCTTACGCATAGAATTCATATAGCAACAGTCTTTATTAGTTTTGAAGGTTTCTTTGTTGCGGAACGTATAATAAAAGTTTTAGTTATAAAATTATTTTATAATAATAATAATAATAATAATAATAATAATAATAATAATAATAATGGAGCTTTCCGTCTGATAAAGAAAGGAACTCAACAACAAATTAACAAAATCCCTGGTTCACCATCTCTCGAGGAAATCAAAAAATACTTAGCAAGTACAGTTCATATGATGCCAAGATCTTTGATCATGTATGTTTGTTTCTTTTTTGTTTTTCTTGTTTTTTTGTTTTTCTTGTTTTTTTGTTAATAGATATCTTTTGTTTATTTAACTGGAAAAAAAATCACATTCTTCGCTTGTCCTGGGTCATTAGTTATATATGTGATTATAAAACAAAATATTTTAGTAATTATGATAATAAAGGTTTGATTTCTTTTGTAAGAGGAATGGAATTCTTGCTTTCCTTAAAAAGTAGAAAGGTGCCAAAAAGAAGAAAATATGGAATTGATTGAGAGCTGACGTTGGTATTGCCTAAAAAAAATGAGAGGATTTAAAAAAAAAAAAAAAAAAAAAAAAAAAAAGCTCGAATAGGCGTTAAAGTAAAAAAAAAAAAATCTCGAACAGGCGTTAAAGTAAAAAAAAAGAAACAAACAAAACTAATAGTCAGCAAGCGAAGCCAAGTTGAATTGCTTTTCTGCTTCCACAATACACAAACGCGTCCACACAGATTCATTTAGAAAAAATGTAAAAAAGAAGGAAAATAAAAACTTTCGAACATTTATAATATAATGAAAACAATGGAAAATTTGTAAAAGTGTAATTATTAAGAATTTTAATAAATTATTAAGTCCACAATAATACAGATCTTTTCTATATATCCCTTAAATGAAATGCCTACATATTGAAGTGCCGGACACTTTATTTTCCAGTTCAAGTTCACACGATTGTGATCTTATCATTTTTTTTTAAGTGAAGCTGAATTCCAAGCAGTAGTTATTAATTTATTTTGAAACAATTCAAGACGTCACATACCACAGAAAAATGTTCAACACTATATTGTCGAAAGAAACACTGGGTTAAGTTTAGGGTTAGTATGCATTCAACAGAGTATTAGTATGAGTATGCGTAAATGGGTCCACAAAGATAATTGTTTACGTGAAGATTTTATGTACGTCATATTGACAATAAATTCCTAAATGGTTTAGTTGTTTATTTTTATGGAAATATGAGGGGAACAGATAAAGCAGTCAGCATTCCAACAAATATTAATAACTTTTTTGGAGAGACTTCACGTCATCTAAGGGACCGCATTTCTTTACTTGTATCGAGTTCTGTAATAAAGTTCTGGCTGGATGAGCCAGAACTTTATATAAACAATAAATAAATACATTTTAGTTAAAAACAATAAATAAAATAAAACAACAATAAATAAAATAAACATACAATATAAAATAAATAAATATTTTGTCCCGTTCATTTGAAATATCAACAAAGCTCCCAGTACTAAATCAAGGACTCACTGAACTCAGGCAAGCATAAATCAGTATTAAAATTTAAAAGCAAATAATTAGTTCCTATTACCTGTAGCAAAATTTCTCCCACGTTGCCATCAGCATTCATCATATTGTTTAACAGTAAATATTTGTAGTTTTTTTTTTCTATCAACAACTTGAAGCGTCGCAGCTGACGGATTTTTTATTCTTGTTATTGCTGTTGTTCTGACACCATCTATTCACGCTTCCTTGAACTGACGTAGGAGGATGATCAATAACTTCCACCAGCAACATCTAAAATAAATCAGCTAATTAATATCGTTTAAGCAATTTCCCAGTATCCGAGGATCGTCTTTTTCATCCCTGCCCCAACTTCAATCAGCTGCTCTGACCACCCAGCCATATTGTTTAGTGTAGGTTGCCAAGCAACCATCATTATTACTCCTCCTATCACCCCTCTCATTCACCCTATATATGTGTGTGACGTAGTACCCATAAAATCTACCATATTCATAGCATGTACTTGTTACGTAATACACAAGTTTGCGTATTACTCTCATTATGGCGGTCTTGCCGTGTGTCTTATTTTCGGCCGCTGACGTTTCAGATGCGAAAGATCTCATCAAACGTAAGTAATTTATTTATTTTTAGTTATTTGTTGAACTTTTACTGAAACTGTCATAGTATATAGATCTGTGAAAGGCAATCTAGTTGAGGCATTTAGCAACACCAGTTGTTTAGATTTCGAGGTACGATGACAAAAAATAGTAAAAAAAAAACAAAAATCTAAATAAAATATGGTTTGTCGTGTATTGAAACTCCCCAATTATGTTTAATGAAATTTTATTTTTACAATCAGTTAATAACTTATTTTTATTTTTAACTAGCATAACGTTTGCCTTTTACTATTTATGGTGTAGTGTGTTTAGTTTTCGTTAAAGAATGTCGATTATTTATCAAATGCTCTGGGCATAGTTCACTTGCATAAGTCATCGTTTTTTAAACTTTGAACGTTTTACTTTTTTTTTTTAATTACCATTTTTTATTTTTATTTATTTTGGTAAAATTCTACATTATTGTTAAGTTTACCGCTCTAAACAAATTTCGCCTAACAATCACTAAATTGCAGCTTTTATTTTTATGTTTTGTTCGTTTTCATATGATGAGCCTTCATTTGAATTTTAAAATCATGCTTCAGAAATATCACGAGTTAAAATTATAAAAAACAAAAAACACCAAAGATGTAATTTATTTCAAATATCATATTTCTGTAAGTTGAAACCAAAATTAAATTTAATTTCCCTAAAAAAAAAAAATGCAATAATTTTCACAAAAGCAAAAAAAAATGCCCTTGTTTTGACGTTTGACAAACAACATTTCTCAGGATTGCAATTAATTATTTTTTTATGATTTCGTAGTTTATTTTTACAGATTATAGTTTTTAATGGTGTATATTTGGAAATGCATATATTTTTCTAAATGATTAACCTGATATTTAAAAAAAAAAAATAGAATTCATAATGATGATTGTTAGTTTACTAAGAAAGAAGCTATTTCCAGCACAATTACATACCCACATACATGTAACATACCATATGAAAACTCCCTCAAACTTTATTTTCTACCCAAACAGACAATATTTACAAACATGCCAAAAAGAATGCACATCATTTAAAAATCAAAGCAACGCTACCATGTGAAATATTTGACCAATCAAAAAAACTGAAACCCTATTTTTCTCGAGCCTATTTTCGTGAAAAATTTCTCATAAAAATCCACAGATTTCGACTTTCAAGAGCAGAGAAGTGACTGCATTCAAGCCGTTCAAACAGTTGAGAAGACCTGGCTATATAGCTTTTTCTTTCACCTTTCCAGCATATACTGAAAGAAACATGTGTTGGCAACTTCAAAGGAATCATCTCCAACAACAGCCTGGACGGTCAGTGACTCTTCACTGTTGATCAAAATCTTTTATAAACCACAGATTATTCTGTGGACGAACTACCCAAAGACTAACCCAACTAAAGACTATTTTGACTCCTTTTTTTTATTCTTTTGAATTCATGTACATATGTTTGTAAATACTAATGATTTGCTTAACATGCCTACCCATGTTTTCTTTATTTTTATTTTATTATTGTTTGGAATTCGAACGTTTGTATTTTTAATATAAAAAAATCTGGATGATCTAAATCTTAGGAAGGTAATTTCATTGCAAAAATTGTTTAGAGCAATAAACTTAACAGTACTAGATTCTATTTCATTCCTGTAGTAAAAATGTATTTCACAATGATTAAATTCTACATATGCTCCCTTCCTTGAAAAATCTGGTGCAAAATTTGTAATCAGTTCTGATAATATTTCAAGATAAAAATAACAAATTTTTCTCTGTGCCATGTCCTTTCAGGACGTGGGCAATCATAGCTGTATAACTTCTTGTCCTTTTGTAGATCTTATTAAGGTTTGTCTTTTTGCTGTCTCTCCTTATCCATGTTCTACCAACCATTTATGCAAACACGTCAGGTAGGCTATGCACTGATTTCCTCTTACCTTCAATATGTCCTGTGAATGAGCAATTCTCTAAGCTCTATTTATTAATTATGTACCCTAGAAATATTAACTATTTATGATTCCAAGTATAAGTGATCTTTTTGTTTCCATTTTCCTTAAAATTTTGTCATTACTCACTTGTTTAGACCATGATATTTTCAGTATCATATAGAGCTGCATTTCTGTTGCTTCACTCTCTTCTTCATCTGTGGGGAGATTGTCCAACACTCACTGCCATCTAGGAGGACCAATAGGGAGATTGTCCAACACTCACTGCCATCTAGGAGGACTAATGTTACATAACAGTTCAGCACCTTTTTCTTTGTTTTTAATATTTTCTAATTTCCTAATACTTTGATTAATTTTTAGGAGGCATCTTTCTCTAATCTAATGTATCTTCAGATTTCAGTGTTGGACTTCCATCCTCTATTAAAACACTCCCTAGATATTTAAATTTTTGCACTTTTTGATTTTGGTGTTTCCAATTCATAGTTTGCATCTTAGTCTGTTCCTTACTGTGGATCATTCAATATAAAATTTAATAAAGGAATAAATATTTTCCAAAAATTAAAACGAGTGTTAGAATTCAAATTGCCTTCATAGGAAAAGACATGAAATGAAATATACATGCATATTAAATTGTGGAAAATATGATTTCTAAGGGTTGGTATTTAGATTTTTTATTTTAAAATGTTTTATGGAAATTTTTCTACTAATTAAAAACTTGGAAACCATATAGCTACTAAATAATGACTACTAATTTATACCTATTTAAAGGTATTTCAAAAGCATCATTTAAAAATAATGATGTAGTAAAATAAAGATGCATTATAGAATTGCTATAAATTTGTTCTTGGTTTAAAAGTGGAAGCTTTTGTCGTAAGTAAGGTGGTGTTGATAATAGATTAGTTTCTGTAGTATGCAATATGAATTTCTGATTTCTCACTGTCTGTCTCCAGCATTCGCTCACCCAATTCCAGTTAGGTCTTGTGACCCGTCAGTCTAAAAGCACCTTGACATATCACTGTTGCGTAGCTAACAGCACCTAATATTTCCCCGTGGTCGACTATCTGAGTAATAACCAGACTCAATGTTGCTTAACTTCTGTTTCAACATGATGCAGTCGTAAGTGCATCAGTATTCAATGTTATTAAAAAAAAAATGCTCCAACATTCAATGTTATAAAATGTAACAGTAATAGGACAAAGTAAAACTAATTTAAAATGCTAATAGTTTTATTCTTTCCTCAATGTATTTCAAAAATGCCTCATAACAATTTCACTATACAAGCAATCACATTCTTAATCTAACTTTTAGTCAGAGTCCATTTTATTTTCCCAAAAAGAAAAAAAATGAAACACAGTGATGAAGCAATGATTTTTGTAATGAAGAGTCAGCTAACAACTAACATTTTGCAATGCATGCTTGCAACTGTTTGTCCAAATCTGAGGCTCAGATTAGTTTAAAAAATAAAATAAAAAAACTTCTGTTTATGGACAAATACATGAATAGCTGGGGTTTATTAAAGATCACAGAAAAAATATTTTTTTCTTCTTAGAACATATAAGGTATTTTTTTTAATCTGTTTATTTACATTAACTGATTTTTATTTCATCAGTTAAGAAAAGCTGTTATCTTTTTCTATACAATTCTTATCATTTTTACCATCTTGTATTTCTACTTCCAACCATCTTCAGACATTCATGTATTTGACAATAAACAAAAATAGTTGTTTTTTTTTGTTTTTTTCTTTATTTTATTTTTTCAAACCAATCTTTGAATCTCAGATTTGGCCAGTCATGAGATGTTAGTTGCACTTCTTTACAAAAAATAAGTTTTGCTTTTATTTAGATAGAATTTTAAAATTTACTAATTTAATTTTAATTTAATTTACATGCATTTAATTACTAAATTTTTAAATTTAGTAATTAAATGTGTGTAAGTAACAAGTAGTTTTTAGTTTGAATAAAAATTAACGTTTTTCTGATTATCTTGTCAAAATTTCTTTTACTGAATTTATTTACTTATTTTTCAGAGTTGCTTGACATTCCAGAATTAGTTGACAATTCTGATCAAGATTTTCCACAATATGAATGGAAAGTAGATACAAAATATTATACTGCCCAAGTTGGCCTCTGTGCAGTTTCTGATCAAAGTGCAAATCTATGCCGAGAATCACCAGAATCAATTCAATCTCTCATCCTTTACTTTGATGCCGAGGAGGTAAGGCTGACAAAAAAAAATTGACTGTATTTTATGAATATTATTGCAAGGTAACATTTCAAATAATAATGGACTTCACTTTTTAAATACATCTCCACTATAAGTAAAAGTTCATATCTCATATTCTTTTGTTTTTCTTTCAACTGTTATAATCATTAAAACAGTAGGTTTTCTGTTGGGACATTCATCCTGTTAACTCTGCATGCTCTCTCTTTGGAGACAATAGTGTAACACAAGACACAATAGGCCTGAGCAAGGGTCATGGAGATCTTAGGTGACCCTTACATCAAAATTACTCTCATTATCCAAAATAAAGTATAAATCAATACAGTTTGCTACTGATACAATTGTAGAGATTGCCAGAAAGTAACACAATAAACTATCCAATGGCTTTTGCATAGGGTTTAGTCTTTAGCCTTCCTTTCTTCCATAGATATTGACAAAATGGTAGGGGGTTTAAATTCAGTTTTCTTTTTTCTAGACTCGGTGCAACCCCTAAGGAAAGTGCAAAGTGAATGAAACAATTGGAATTGAACCACTGCACATCGATTCCACTTCCTGTACCATTACATTTAAGTCTTAGAAAATTCTGTAATTTCTTCTTGACCTTTAGGTGGTTAGTTGTCCAATAATATGGGTGTGTAGCTGAGTGGTTAGAATTTTAGTGTTCCAACCAGGTAACCTGAGTTTGAATCTCACTGTAGTTGATTTGTCAGGAAGTTGACTTCTTGTTAATATCTACCTGGGAAGATGATCCCAGCATGCAGCACTTTTAAAAAGTGTTGGGAAACCATCTCATAATTAGACCCAAGCATTGCGAGTGAAACTGAGTAGATGAAACTGTTGAGAAGCCATTGATGATTGTGCTTGTATAAACAAGGTTTTGAGAATGCTGGTCTTGTTCAACATTTGATCATGCCAGATTATGTGCTCTCTCCCAGAAACCAAGTATGGTCTGCTCAGTGTAGTATAAGCCACAGGTTGGCTCTGTGGCTGTTAAAAACACAAATATGCCTTAGCAGATGCCTGCAACAGGAATTAGCACTCCACCCTTGCAGATAGATGTTCTTGGAAAATGAGCTACCAGCCATTAATATTCATATTTACAGGGGATTGCTGAGTGGTTTTAAGACCAGCCAAGAAGCCCTTCTATGAAAACATGATCTTTAGTCAGATTTTAGGAAGTGTATCGCACCATATTTTATCTAGTATCGAAACACAAGCGTGGGTTACCCAGTGAATATCAAATTTATTACAGTAGTAATAGCTGACATAACAAATTTGCTAATCATTTCTCTAAGATGAGGGATGTGTAGGTGGTTTAATGGATAGCAGCTCAGAATGAGAAATTGGAAAGCCAAGTCCAAATTCCAGTTGGATGCGCACAAACTCTTGGAAAAGGTATGAATCCATCTCCTCCTTGAGCTGTGTATGATATGTCTGGAACAATCATTGTTATTCTTAGAAAAATGTTCATGTAATATTCATTTGCAAAAAGAATTATTCTTACATTCCAAATAATGTCTTGGATTTAAATAACTTACAAAAGGTTGATAAAAAAATCGAATCAATCAAGTCAGGTGCCTAGATATCTATGTAAATAAAGTGAAGTGTACATGTGCCTGTCTGTCTGTTGTTTTTCTGATTTTGACGAATCATAAACAACCTGAAGTAAATGGTAGTAACTACAGTAGTTACATGTGATTAAAAATTAAATAACTCATTTAAAGTTAAATTTAAATATTAAACAGAATGAAAGGTTTAAAAAATAAGTCTTTATTAAAGGTTTAGCTTTAATTTCGCTTTTCATTGCAATTGATATCATCTAATTAAACTAATTAAAACTTAAGTGGGGTATGGTACCTTGCTCATATGTTTTCTTTTTCTAACACGTGTACTGTGACATATTCAAAATATTACATAGTTTAGGTTCCCTAATATCTTTTAAGATTGACTTTATGTGAAGGGATCTTAAAGAATGGTGATTTTAAAAGAGAATAAAAATTACATGCAAATATAAATCTAAACAAACACCAGAGATCAGTTGCATATACAAAGAAAAATTATGTTGCATTAAGTTGTCAAATAAAGATAAAATAATCTTATTATTTCTAAATTCTTATAATTTTCACGTACATGGGATGCTGAAGGTAAAAGGCTGAAGGCCCAAAAGCTCTCTGCAGTAGCTCGCCTAAAGTTTGCCTGAAGAGCAGCTTCTAAACTAATTTATATTTTATTCAAGGTTTGTAACATTTTGTGAGGAGACAAATTGTAAGTGAATGTGTAAAGGCATCGTTGCTGTCTATTTCTGTACAATATTAATTATATATAATTCTCTTCTCTATGTAGATCTTTTCCTTGTTTTAATTCATTTTTCTGATTTAAAAAAATAGGAAAAGAGTTTCCAATTTTTCGACAAATGGCTCCCTTTCCTTGCTGAGCACAAACCAGAAGTCTTAATTGCAGTCTGTCGACATTGTTCCGATTTTACAGGTAATAGTTTTTAAATTTACAGTTTTCTTAAAACTTGCCATTGAAGACGTTAATGTACTCTATTTGCGTTGACAATGTTTTCTATGCAGCAATGAATTTGAAATAAAAGTAAATTATTTAGGGTTTGTTGATTTTGTTTTTGGTTTTTTTAATCAATTTACCTCAAGCAGTACAGTATGTATCAATATTTAAGAGATGATATTCCTCTCTGTTGATTAAACAAAGATTAAAATTGTCATCACAGGAGTATCAAAAATTTATTTATTTCAAAAAAGTTTTCTATTTTATTTACTTGTATTAAGTGATACTTTTATCCTAAAATCCAGTTTGAAGTCATTATGAATTATGTTAGTACTTTATTTATTTTTTTAAACATTGAACTATAATAGGTCAACAGTAGAGGAATGATAAGCTTGTAGAATATACAAAGCTCTAGAAATTAAATGATATTTCATCAGTGAACAAGTTTTCAGCCTGCCATTTTTCTTTTTCTTTATTTTGTTAATAGTATCTTATTTTTCTTTCAGCTATTCCAAGGATGACTATTCTCAATTGGTGCATAGAAAATGGATTTGAGTTAGTGGAATTGAAACCTGACCTCAGTGATGAAGAAGAGGAAGAAGGTTAGAGATATTTTCTCTAATGTGCTTTCTGGCCTTGTGTATTCATGAATTCTTTTATATATTTTGCTCATCATTTTATTTATACTCTTATCTCCAATTGGGCAAATATCATTTTACAGCTGCTCATTTTTGTATTAAAATCTCTCGTAATAACTGTTTACATTTTTTATATACTCCACTTTTATATTTATCTCCCTGTGCCTCTTCTATAAATACTTTCATGGAAGTTGTTCAGATGAGCTCTTCACTATGGTACCTACACTCTTTGAATTTAAATGCAGTATGAGACTGATGTTGAGATCTCATCAATTTACAGTTGAGGTGACTAGCTGTAACCATAATTTCTATGCTGAAAGTTTTTTCTTGCTTGTGGAACTCTTTTCTAGCTCCATGCTTACCAGCCAATCTTAATCTGAAAAAATTTAAATGCAATGTCAATTGCTCTCTAATGTTCCACTTGATTACTCTTTTTGTATTCTCGGTCCTTAATAATGTTTCAGTTTTTTAATTTCTCCACACTCAGTAAGCCCTTGTGTCTTAGCAACTTTACTGCCCTGTTTGTGGTGTGCTCAATTTAAAAAAAAAAAACTTACAAAAATTACTTCTTCTACAACTCTGAAATTTTATTTACTAATTATTTATTTAGTTTTTCCTTCCTCAATAGGAGTAGATAGGTTTGCCTATCACCTGATTCACACTCTTACCTGGTCTTTTGAACTGAAGTATAGGGTTATCCCTTTTTTTCCTGATTAGGATAGGGTTTCTGGTTCCTTCTAAAGTCTTTTCATTCTCTTTCACTTCCAGTAGCTCCTTGCATCTTAGTAGCATTATCTCCTTGTTTGGGGTGGATTGATTAAAAAAAGAAAGAAGAAATTTGATATAATTAAAAATGATAAGAACAAAATCAATTAAAGAGCTGACTGTGATATGCAAAGTGAATATCTCTATACAAAAGACGTCAAAATATGTTATTTAAAGGCTGTGCATCTCAGTACCTTTTAATATTTTCATGTCAGCTATAACTGGCAAGACATATGCAAGCGAAAAAAAATTGTCTACCACAACATACTGAATCAACTTTCTTTGCAGTAGACTTAACAAGTAACTGGATATAATTATTCCAATTCATATCTATGAAAAACATTTGATCAAGAATGTGCGATGGGTTACTCTCTTGGAGGTTAGCATCAGCCATACTGATGGCAGGCAGAAAAAGTTCTCTCAGACACTTAAGAGAGCCACTTAGCTTTGGAGGTGTTAAAATTAACAAGCCATTTCTTACTCCAATTAACAACAGATTGAAGGTCATTTTTGAGATGAGCTGCCAATTTAACTTTATCTTACCTTTCAGACTTAGCATTAAAATAGGAGTAAATAGATGTGTCGTCAGAGGATTAATTTGGTAAGATGTGTAGTATTATTTATCTTAAACTTTTTCTTTCCTCTTTGTAGGATGTTCTTTTAATGTTTTGTCATACAGACACTTCCTATTTGATAATTTCTTCTTACTAGAGCAAGTGACAATCATCATAAAAATAACAAATGTCAGTAGTTTTATTTTTTTTGCCATTTTCTTGAACAGTTGAATGATTGTTTTTATATTATACCAACCACTGATTATAACTAATCTATGAATAATTACTTAATGGTAAAACTGACAGATTTACATTAGTTATTTTGGAAAACATTAGCATTTCGGTCATTCTACTATTCAATTCTATCTATGACCTGACTAACTAGTGTTGTGACCTGGGCTGGATTCTCCTTTAGGCCAGTATAGACTGCTGCCCTGCCCCCTCAAGCTTTTATAAAGCAATGATTCTAATTTTAAAGATGTTAAAACTTCCAAATAGTTTCATAAACTGAAATGGTATCAATATGACAAACTCATATTTATTTTTATTATTTTACTGTTACAATGCTGGTTATAAAAAAATCGTCTGTTTTTGTTTTTTATTTTTGTTACTACATTTGTGTTGGAATCTGTGCTAATTTGGTTTGCAATAATTAGTAAAATAGTGGTATTTCTTAAAGAATATTTTTAATGACAACCAAAAGATAGCTATTGTTTTTTTTTTTTTTTTTTTTTTTTTTTTTTTGAATTTATAATAAGTATACTTCAAGCTATGTAAATGTCACTAAAATATATCACAAGTAAGAAATATTCAAGATGGATGAGTTAAAAGGTTGCTTCGTATGATGGGGGTGGGATTGATTTCATTATCCCAGAGACTCCAAAATGTCATAATCTGCCCTTGTCATGACTATTGTAACACTAATTGTAGATATCTATCTACATTTTCTATCCTTTTTTTTATTTTCAGATGATTTTCCTGAAACTGTGGGTGTAGCCAGAATTATTCAAGCTCTACATGCACACACTTGGCCAAATTTGGTTATGAAGAGTAAGTGGTTAAATTTACATAAGATTTATTTTTAGTGATTTGAAAAATTTCATTATTGCTGGAACTGACCATTTTTCTTTTATGTCATTGTGATATGTTAAGTCTACTGTCTTTGCTTATTTTCTCTCTAAGAAAATTCTTTTATTGGCATAAGTTTTAAATTAACAATATGAAATATTAAAATATTATTTATTTAAAAAAATAAAAAGCACTGAAGACTTTACTTCAATGCTTTTTATTTTGCCACCGCCACCCCCACACACACCCACACACATGCTTTTATTGTAATATATATATATAAAATAAATAATAAAAATTGTATATCTGAAACAAATTATATACCATCGTTTTACCTCTGAAAGGAATTTTAGCCAAACAGAAGAGTCATTGTTCACATTGTGATGACTGCAGTCTTCCTATGAAACTTTTGCTGAAATGCAATAATGCTCAGACTTGAATCTAGAACAACACATCAATCAAATTTAGTTTTCTTTCTGACACAGCACAACAAGCTGAATGAATGGGTTATATATGTCAGTCTGCTTAGTCATAATATTTTATTTTTATTGGGATCAGCTAGTTAGTTCTCAAGTGTACTTTGTCAACGATTAACATGCTTCGTTTAACTACAACTCTCTAATCAGCATTAACAAGTGTCCAGTATTCTGTTGTCTATATATTGTATAAAAATAAATTAATGGTAATGATCTACCTTGGTTTTTTTTTATCTTTCTTAAGAAACTGTTATCATTGAACTGCATACATGTACAAAAGTTTATTTTTTAAATTTGAGATAATTTTTAAAAGTCACTTCTGTAGTTTTGTGCTTTCAAACCTGATATTGGAAAAAAGACATAAATTTTTATATGCCAGAACAATGTTAGAAAAGTCAATGACAAAGTGGAAAATTTTTTTTTGTGTGACATGTTTTGTTCTTCAGGAACTAAAGTGATGTTTACATTGATATGATTATACTTGCACATGAACAAAAAGGGATTCTGAAATTTCAAACTTTTAGGTTAATAAATGTATTTTGAGTATTATTGTGATAATAGAAAATTTGCTAAGAAAGGTGAAATGTTATAAAAACTTGGACGTAAATTTACTAGCGATTAAAGCACTTTCTATACACTTGTCTTAGTAAATTGCTATTTCCTTTAATTAAAGCAGCATTTTTTAAATCAAAATTATGGTTTGGCTTAATGCATTAGCTGCTCACCATGAGTTGTATTTTAGTGTGCAATAAAATTTTTTGAATGGTTTTGTATAGAGTACCAGAATTGGTATCTCCCTTGTCTGAATGTTTAAGCTATAGTGTGTGTGTGTGTTTGCAAATATTCGTACATATACAAATTTTTAATTTATTGTATTTCCAAGTAATGAATAAATATACTTTTCATATAATTAACTTTACACAGATGCATAATAACTAAATATGCATAGAAAACAGAAAGAAATTTGACTTAATAGAAATAAATCCCATTTATCCATTTTAATGGGTGAAAAAAGTTTTTTTTTTTTTTTTTTTTTTATTCATCTAATACAAGGGCCACTCAACGTAGAGGGTTACTGAGTGAGATTGTTGGAAAAAAGGAGAAAGTAAGAAGTGCATAATATGAGGATATGTAGGGTAGATATCAGTTGATGTGGAACTTGACCTGCATGTATTTTCTTTACAGAAATCCTTTGAGTATTTTATCCTGGTAAATACTATTATTTTGGCTTTAAAGTAATTTTTTTTTTTTTTCTTACAGAAGATGGACCATCTTTTTGCCAATCTTATTTGAGTGAGCTGATGGCCGAAGATGTTGCTTTGCCTCCATCAACCACTGATGGCATTGTTAACAATGAACACAATCAAGATATTTGCTTGAAACGAACTTCCGACAGCACAACTATAGCCAGTTGCCCTGATACATCTGAAGAGCCAACCGTCTCCCTTAGAGGTGAAAGTAACAATGTCTGCACAAGTACTAACAACTACACAAAGACGGACGACCAGTCATCCTGTAATCAAACTAAGCCAGGTAATTAAAATGAAATTGATTTAGCTCGTATATAGGTTGAAAAAATTTTAGACTTAGTTTTATGCTTTATTCAGGGTCATATCTTGCAGTCATTAGTTTTTGTTTGTGTCTGTGTGTTTGTGTTGATGTCACCTATTGGTATACATAAAATTATTGAATTTAGCATGTCAAGGTGAGCCGAATTTTGGCAGTAAAAGTGCTTAGTAGATAACTAGAGTAATAATTGTCATTTCTAATAAATAATGTATGTGTGTGTATTTAGACAGCAGTCCTTCATTTATGCATGTTTCATTAAAAATGACTGACAAGGTACTCCATTTAAGCTTTTTATTTAATTTTTCTTGTGTTCGAACAAGTGTTTTTGTTTTGGACAGTTTCTACACACTCTGTGTCCAAAAAAGAAAAAAACCCTTGTTCAAACAGAAGAAAAATTAAATAAAAAGCTTAATTAAAGTACCGTGTCTGTCGTTTTTAATGAAACACGCACACACATATATATATATATATATATATAATGTCTGTGTGTAAATTCCAACAAGATATGTCTGTTTAATTTTTTATTGCATTTTTATATTAAAGTGTTGTTTTGTTCAAGTATTTTCAACTGTGTCAGTCATTTTCAAGAACCAATGTGGTATCTGTGTGGTAGGAAGAATTCATTTGTCTACATCCTAGAATTTTTGAAGTTTGAAATAGTCTGCAGCGACATCATGCTCAAAAAGTTTTGAGCATTTTTCACCAGACCATTTATTCATGTAAATTCTGACAAGGTATATTTATTTAATTTCCTATTGTATTTTTTATATTAAGGTACTATGTATTATGATCAAAATTGTGGATAAACTGTTCTAAGTTCATGTTGTGGTATTGTTTTGTTCAGGTACTTTTCATTGGTCACAGATATGTCTTATAAACAAACATTTTATTTATTGACTTTTATATATATATATATATATATATATATATATGATACTGGCAGGAAACCAGGGATAAACCTCTATTCTTATTCAGAAGACAAGAAAGTGGGTGTGAACCAGGCGATAGATGAATCTATCTACTGAATAATCTAAAATTTAAAAAATAATATAACAGTTCGTCTTTAATAGCAACAGTATATTTCTTAAAGTTAGTGGAATGTCATGTCTGCTAGATTTGGCTTACAGATTATAGTTTTCTGACTTCTGTTCTACAGATACTCACAGTTTACAGGAAGTACAAGTTTATTGAAATTGAGAAGCTGATATGTGGTTTCAGTTGTTGGTAATGATCTCAAGTTGCTTCACTTAACTCTTTACGTAAAGAGAGTTGCTTAGCATAAATTTGTGTCAGTGAGTGGGCATTTTTTTTAGTTGACAAACTATGTATCCAAAGTCTTATATCAGTTTTTATCAGATACGAAGTAAAGTTTTTAAAATTTACTCAATTCAGTGATTGGTTGATAACTCTTTTCTTTATGCCCCATGATCTGTTTATTACTCTATACATAAATTTCTAATATTCTTTTACATCTTGATATTGACAGCTTTTACCTTAAACCTGCTGTTTGTATTGATCTTCATTTTTGCCTGGCTTTTTGACTTGCCTCTTAAATCTTTACATGTTAACTATTTTCATTATTTTATTTCGAATATTATTACAACATTGAATTGGTAATGCTAGTAATTTATATGAATAAAAGGAAAGGCAGGCTGAAAATGTTTTGTATTTATTGGTGATAGGACTTCACTTCATTATTCAGTTGAAAGGCTTAGAATAATTGCCTTGAGTCATTTTATTCAAGTAAACACTTTTAGTGTGTAAATATGGGGTCCATTTCATAACTGTGAATATCATTTGTTCAAAACCTAGATTCACTGAAACCATTAAATCGAATCTTCATTTTCCTGAAATGTTGAGTTCACTGAAAGATCCAAATATAGAAAATTAAAGGGAGATAATTTTTATATCTGATGTTTTTTACTAAATATTAAATTTTTTCTTAAAAATTACACTTGTAAATTTGATTGCTGCTTATTTATGGTAATGAATGATTGACAAGTTAGTTGATTTGTTTAAGAGGATTATTTAATATTGAAATCAGTTAAAGCCAGGAAATTGATTTGTCTTTCTTTAACGAAAATAAAGTATTAATAAAACAAATGGTTAAAATATATATTTATTAAAATAAATAGAAAGAGTTATATGAATTAATACTGAGACAAATATTTAATTTATTTACACATGCATTTTGGATAGGACAATTATTTAACTGATTTTAACTTTCAGTATTTTTTAATTGTTTTTAAATATTGCTAGAATAAAACCAAAATATTACACATTGTTATATGAATGAAGACTTCATTGATGAATATATAGAGAAAAAGATATTCATTATTATGCTACAGAATTTAAAAAAGCACTTTTCAGATATAAAAGTTATCTCCCTTTAATTTACTGTATTTTTTTCCTGAGAAATAAAACATTCAATAAAGTGAAGAGTTGATTTAACAGTTCCAGTGAAGAAAATTTTCAGGCAAATGACACTTTCTGTTCTGATTGCTTCTTGTACAAAAGTTAAATTTACATTCATTTTATCCTGTATATATATATATATATATATATATATATAATGTTTTTATAAGCAACTTAGAGTATTTTATGACTTGTTTAATGATTCTTGATTTTCATTTACAAAAATCTAATGATTTCTGTATATAAAGACATTCAAAATTCTATTGAAATCTTTCATCAATAAACAAAACAATTATTTTAATCTAATTTCAAGTTTCATGGAAGAATACTAATAGGTAATTTCTAATACATTCACATTATGATAATGTAAAAATTTTACTCTGCTTATTTTTGATAAAACCAATTTAAAAAAACTTATAAAATTTTTGACAGATTTCATGAAAATTTATCAGAGGGATACATGAATCTAACCTCAATAAAATAAAATAAAAATATCTTTCTATCACTAATGCAAAATAATAAATGTGCATTTTATTTACATGGGAAAAAAATGAAATGTAATATTTTCTTGTAGCTAAGATCAGCTTAAAACCTGTTTTTATTTGTATTTTGAATTATTTTCTGCTCTGTTTTTGTGTTTTGTATATGGTTTTTACCTTTTGGAGTATCCTGCTTAAAAATATCATTAGTCTTTTAGTATTCTCATTCTTCACCAAACTTTAAAAGTAATAAAAAAAATTCTTTGAGTGTATTTACTGGTTACTTTTTAGACTAATGATTGTCTTTTTAAATCTCCTGATGCCATGTCATATTTGAAAAGAAGTGCAGACTGGATGTTGACTAATCCTAACAAATTTCTTTTCTGATTTTAAATCAATTCTTGACATTAGCCAAAATCTTTGTTTTCTGCTAACATTTTTACTCAGTATATAATTTGTTATTACTTAAGTTTCTTTTTGTCTCTGTAGATAATATTTTCTGTGAAGAAGACCTGTCAATGTTTGCTGCACTGGGATCTGAAGATGCTGATCAGGGTTCATTTGAGGTTCTTTTTGAAAAATTACAAGTTATGAAAGGTAAGAATATATATAATTATAAAAAACATTTTATTTTATACACTTTGATATTTTTTCATATTTAAAAACAACAGAAAAGCTTAGTGAATCACTTCTTCATTCCTTTTTTAGTTTGTCATTTAAGAAGTGTAGACATTTTTGCATTCTTTAATAAACTGTATATTAGTGATGCTCTCATCTGCTGGAATTTTTTTTTTTTTTTTGTGTGTGTGTACCTTTTTTAAATAACTAAAAGTCACTCTTAAATCAAAAGATTTTGTGGGTATTAGTGGGACAGTTTGTTTACTGCTGACTACACTTTCCATTTTACCTTGTACAGCCAATTACTCTCATAGATCACATTTTAATACAATGTTTTGCTTTCAGTTTCAAACTCATGATAGTTTTTTTATTATTTAAATTTTCAATAAATCTTAATAACTTCTGTTACTTTATGCAACCAAAACCTGTTTTTGAGTTGGTGTATCTATCAACAGAAATCTGGGCTTATGGAATAGTTGAATTAAAAATAAAAAAAAAAATATTCTTACTGTCAAGAATTTTTTTTTTCTTTTTGAACCCTATAATCTGCAAAAACATTCTCAGGTTTTCATTTTATATTACATCAAATGAATAATGCCATACTTGTACTGAAACCAATCAACCAATGACTACATAAAAAAAGTAACATTCATGGTTACTTAATATCCTCAGCTTACTTGTGCCAAAATTGCTGTATACTCAATGTGGTTTTGAACATGACTATTTAGTCTTAATGATATGTTAGGTTAACTTGTTTACCATTTACTTATAAATATCTTCTTTCAAAATATTTTGGCAATTTATCCACATTTACTTTTTTCCAGATCTACTTTTTTCTTCTTACCAACCCATTAACAATTTTCTCTTCAAGATTCCTTAAAAAAATTTTTTTAAAAAAAAGGAAAAGTTTAACAAAAAAACGGTTTGTCAAAAGGAAAGTTTTTCTCCTGACAACACTATTACTGTATGCTCCCTCATTAACATTTTATTGTTTTAAAAAGCTATTTTTAGAATTTTAATAAACCCCAAACACGTGAAAATGAATTCCTGTTTTTCTTTTCAAGAACTAACAGCAGAAATATTAAACACTATTTATTTAGTTTGTTTTCATAGTTCTTTCTTCATAATCTAGTGAATAATAAGTATTACAGTGTAGTTTATTTGTCTTGTAAATATTAAATTATTCTTGTAAATAATCTAATAAATAGTGTTTGTCAATTCACAAGAAAAAAGAAAATGTATAGATCAGTTTCATGTTTATTTTTTATTAAAATTTTAAAGATAGCTAAACTGACTATAAAAATGGCCAGGAGAGTCTGCACTAATGTCAAGTGTAACCGGAAAATGTGTCCTTTTGGTACATGTTTTTTTTTCTTTGCATGTATGTTTGTTAAACTGTGCCATAAAGGTAATGCTGACAAAGCATTTTATGAAGTACTTTGTAAAACAACTAGTACACAAAAATATGCAATTAAAAACAAATAAATGCTATGATCAGAATTATTTTCTCTACCTTACAGATCTTAGACTTAGACTGCAATTATTAAAGATTTTATTAATTCATTTTTTCATCCTTTTCTCCGTTTTAATCACAGAAAAAGCACAGTACCTACCACATAATCAAAGGAAACAGTATGCAGAAAAGGTAAAGGGGAACTAATCGTTTTTGATCATTAAAAAACCTAAACTTAAAATTGATGAATAAAATCTTTACTATTAATTCTTTGTTCTGTTGTCTTGAACTGGTTTAATTTCAACAAAAAAATCTTGATTAATGTTGCTCCATGAACAAATAAAAAATATATTTTTACAATTAAGTAATAATAATCCTGAAGAAAAATATAGAAACTTACTGAAAAAAAAAAAAAAATTAAGCTAATCTTTATGCCTTATGGTATTTTTTTTTTTTACCTGAATTTTAAGCAAAATACTGTCTAAATATATATTTATAAAAAAAAAAAAAAAATGAAAATAAAGTTAACCTTAATTATTTAATGCTATTTTGAATGGTTGCAGATGGCTGTTTCCTTCTGGAAGGCAATTGGTGGAGATGCTGATGAAATTGATGGACTCTCTGACACAGATGAAGAATCTTAAAGACAAATCCAAGAAAAATACGACTATTCTGTACAGCTCTTTCAGAGACATTTAAAATATATGTAATTATGCAGTATTATTTACTGCATTCTTAGCAGTCATCACACTGGAAATTATATACAAATTCTGTGATAGTTCCTTCATTTTGATTTTGTTTAATTTTGAAAAATCTAGTACATTCCTATCAGTGGGATGTAGTTTAAAATGTCATTTATCTCTTAATGGTTATTACAATATTATATATTTCTATTTCACCTCATTGTATTTTTTTTATGTAAATATATTTCTTATACAATGCAATTTTTGAATTTGTTTATCCTTTTGTCTTAATTCCTTTATCCTCAATGTAGGCCTTGGCCAAACTGAATCTTGTCTTAAATTCTTTTATAAGTAAACATTTCAAATTGTGTAAGAATCTAAAGTAAGACAAATAAAATAATTTTCATCTTAATCAACTTCAGAGAAAGATTTTCTCTTAATTATACATTAGACCTCTTCATTCAGGGTAAAGTTAATTTCATCTTTATATTCATCCAAATAAAAATTATTATTTTGACTTATAAATCAGCACTGTTCATTTATGACAAGATCTTTTAAACTTAACTAAGTGAAACCAGAGAAACTGGTAAAATAGCTTCATTGTAAGAAAGAAAAATATTGTCAAATGAAAGTAATTTTTTTTATTATTGTTTCTTAAGTTTTGTAGCAAGTCCAAATATAAGTAATGTTATTTTGCCTTCCTACTAAAACCACTTAAAACCCATTACACAAGAAGGCATTATAAAAACAAATACATGAACATTTTTATTCACTCTAAGGCTTTCACACCCAAAAAGAGTAATCTAAAATTAAACAATGATCCTAATTGTTTTTGTAGTATTTCATTTCTGAGATGAGTAATTGTCAATATTCTTATATTAGTTTGAAATATTGTTTTCATCTTGGTTGATATTATTATTATAGACATAATGTTTTGACTAAGTACCCTCTGGCCATCATCAGGTGTCCATTGATTTGGCTGATATGGGATATCTATTGATTGCGATGTTTTGTTCCTGTGATGTCAATTATTGTTCATTCTTGTTGAATTGTTGCTTCACTACCAGATCCAAAAATTGAACTCAATACCACTAGATGACAATAACACATGTATAACCAAATCTATCTATCTATCTATATATATATATATATATATATATATATATATATATATATATATATATATATATATATATATATTATAGTTCTTTAAATTTTGCAAACATGCATTGTTGTAATTTTTTTCCTTAAACTGTTATGGAAGATAATAAGCATAACATCTTTTTTAAGCAGATAGTTGCTCTTTTTTTCTTTTTTTTCTTCTTTTTTTTTTTTTTTTTTTTTTTTCCCCTTTATTTATGTATTAGTACTTTCCATGTTAGAAGCCCCAACCATATTTACACTTAATCTTTTGTTCACTGGATGATGAACTCCATGCCCTGAGAAGTAGCAGGAGAAGCTTGCTAAAGAAGACACCAAATTCCTTGTCTGCTGATGAAGTTAAAAATTGTGTGATGAAGGGAATAAAAATTACAGTGCTATAGTTTATAATGGAACTTCATCTTCACTTGTAAAGGAACAAAAGATGGAAGAAAAGACACTTAATTTCATTTCAGTTTTTTTTTTATTTTGATGAGAAATGAGTTTAAAGCTTTACAATAAGCATTTGAAAGATTGACCGATGATTCATTTCAGGAAACAGTTTTGTAGTCAATACTGACTTTTCTTGACAAGTTCAAAATTGTTTAATTTTACAAAATTAGATAACATCTATGACAAAAAGGTATTCATATTACAGCGAGAAGAACTGTTAAATTCCTCATCCCAAAAGTACTAAAATTTTAAAGTTTCAGGCATGTACCAACAATGGATACTTTTTCTAGTAAGTTCAGGATAGTATATTTTTTACCATGTTTTATATGGTGTGAATATTATTTTTTTTTTTTATTTTTTATTTTTTTTATTGATATGATACTGAAGTAAATGGTTGGCTTCTCTGTTGTGCGATAAATCATAGCAAGAAGTTGAAAGGAAACTTATATGAACAGTCAAAATTGCCTTTCTGTGTCATTTTTTAACTATTTCATTTTTGAGAACACAATTTTTCCTTATGTTTAGGCTGGTCAGACCTAATAATTATTGATTCCATTATTTCATTTACTTCTAGACTACCTATATGAGATCCCATTTATACTTGTTTGAAATGCTGTACATGATTGGTAGATAGGTCTCATCATTTTGCAGTTGATATTGGTAGATGTAACCATAATTTCTATGCTAACAGTTTCTTCTGGCATTTTACTTTCCAGTCAAGTTTGATCTTAAAAATTTTAAATGCAACGTCAATTGTCATCTGTCATTTTAAATCTTGTTCTTTTATTGTCCTTTGTTCTCAATAAGCTTTTCTCAGTTTCTTTCACTCTCCGTTACCTTTTGCATCTTAGTGACTTGATCACTTTGCATTGGAGTGAAATAATTCAGGAAAAAAAAAAAAATAAAATAAAATTTTAGTTTAGTATCTTAAAGTAGTTTAGTATCTAAAGAATTTCTTACTGGCAGAATAGGACTGTTATATGAATAAGTGCAGAAGAGTCTTTAACCTATGAAGAAGGTCCTCCACACAAATCTTTGGTCAGATTTTGGGAATTTTTAAGTACCTCCTTGTATGATTAATTCTCTTTATGGGCAATAGAATACAAAGAATATAACTTTTAATCTGTTACTTATGCTAGCTACTAGTTACTACCTATATCTATATCTGTTACCTATATTAGCTACAAGTTCTTTCAGTAGTTGTTTCAAGACCTGTAATATCTTTGTTAGTCTATAACTTCTGAATTTTAGAAGTACAATACATTATTGCAAAAGAATTTCTTCAGTCGAAAATACTTGGTCTCTTTCATGTATCATAACTTCAAAGCATAGATTTTTTTTTTTTTTTTTTTTTTTCAAACAGTAACAGTTTGTGATTACCTCCCTTGGATATCAAATTATTTCTACCCGATTATTATGATGATCTATGTATATAAATCCATTTAATTTTATATACTTTATTAGCTACTGGGGATTAACCAGATGTTAATTTTACTATATTTATAAAAATCGAATAATAAAACCGTTTTAATGTTAAATTCTTTATTTTATTTTGGTACCATATGTAACATTTTGAATAAACACCATAGTACACTAGTATTTATAATAAAATGTGGAATAATTTTGAGAGAAAATATTACATTATTGAATTTTGATTATCATTGATTGCTAGCAAGATCATACCTGGTTTTCTCTTGTTTAGCTGTTTTATATGCTTACAAAATTCAAAATTGTTAATCAACTGTACATGGCATGTTTTGAAGATCAGAACTGGTTGAACTAAAGAATTTAGCTTATTAGAATACTTTTTTGTTTTTTTTCTTTTTAATCATTTCACTTCAAGTAAAGCAGGAATGCCACTAGTACACAGGGGTTACAGGGAGTGAGAGAGAAAACTAAAAATAGGGAAGATTGAGGAAAGGACAAAAGATGAATGGGAATCAAGACAGAAGATAGCAATTGATGTTGCATTTAATTTTTGAAGATTGTAGTTATCAGTGAAGCAAGTAAACGGAAGGGAGTTCCACAAGTGGGAAGTGCAAGAAAAGAAAATGTTGAAATAGAAGTGGTGGTTGCATTTAGCTATTTCAACAGTAAAAGTGTGGGACCTAGATACCAATTTAGTAGCACACTTTAATTCATGTGGTCGTAGCACCAGGAAAAAAGCTTGTCAGAACAGTTGCCATGAAAATATTTGTAGAAAAAAAAAGGGAAACCATGTCATGTCAGTGAGAAAGTGATTTTTTTACTTGGTATGGAAAAAGCAATAGAGTAGCAATAAGCTTACAACATTTTGTCTGCAAAAGGTGGTGCAGAGTGGAAAATAATTAATTACCCAGAAGGTTGTAAAGATGCTTCTGAACTCTATCAAAACTGCAAAGTGAGGACTGGACATCTACAAGGAAAGAACAGAAGGTGAATAATCACAACAGTGGCAAAAGAGAACACAAATTCTCTTTTCAAAATATATTGGGTTCTTTATTCATGGAATAACCTAACAAAGTTTTTCCTCTTCAACCAACAAAAATTTCCGACTCTTCCTCTACTCATCTCTGTCTGTTTATCTTTGAATTTGATTTGTGATTCAGTTTGTGATTCATCTTTGATTGCCAACTCTTTCCTACCCACTTTCTGCCCATATGACATTTTAGAATGTGGCCTAAAAATCTAAGCCTATGACTGGGATTCCCTCCCCTCCAGCTGAGTGGCACTTGATCCCAAATTTAGTTATTTACTTTATTTCCTTCTTTATTTGTGGTGAGTGAGTAGTTCTCTTGAAATCCTCACATCTCAATTTAACTAGGTACCATAAAACACCAGTTGCTTCAGGCTCAGATAAAATCACTTACAGCTGATTCAACTTCCTGTATATCCTAATTGCTCTGATAGGGTCCCATTGTGTTACAATCTAATTTGTTAAATTTGATAAATTTAATTTGACTTTGATTTAAGAATTAATAAATTTTCCACTTATGGAAAATAAAAGAAAATATTTGGACATTCAATCCAGTTTCCTGACTTTAAAAAAAACATGAAACCATGTATTTTCCACAATGTTCTGCCAAATCATCTGCTTTCTTAAGTATCAATAAAATTAATTAGAATTTCCTATATTTACAATTTTCATTTTGATGGGGCACATTATCCAATTACTACTGTCTTTGCCATCCCATCTTACATATGGCTTAAAATAGTATTTTGGGGAATGCAGCTTACTGCAACTCATCCAAGCCACAGAGTTGTTCCTTTCAAACATCTTAGATGGCTGTCCTCGTCATCAAACTAACATACTGGATCAGTGTGTAGAACCCAAATTCTACATTATTCCAATACCCAAAATAGTTGGGTCAAATCTGTGTAAAAAGTGG